AGGCCAAAAAGCCAAAAATCGGGAAACCCACTCTTGTTCACACGTCACGTCACACCTGAAGCGCAAAGGAAACCTCCCAAAACGGGGCAAAATAAGGAAACCGCTGCTTTTTTCTTATTCAAAAGATTCGCCCTCACAGCCCTGCCTCACCACAGCTGCCTCCACCGCCCCAGTCTTTATTTTAGGGAGAAAAAACAGTCGTTCAGGGTTTGCAACAGTGCTGGATGGGTGCGGGGCAAAGACCCCTCTGGTGACCTCTGAAATAAGTAATTTTGGTGAAACCCCACAGTGGCCGTTTCAGGATGACCTTGAGCTTCAACTCGCCAGCAGCAGACTGAAGCTGTTGCTTAAATTAAGGCGATTTTGGGACATTTTGGACCCCTCAGGATTTTTATTTTTTTTAAGCTTTTGGGGTTTTGTTGGAGGCTGCTCTGAGATTCTTAAAAATTAAGAATCCCCGCAGCAAGCTGCCGCTCCATAATGATTATTTACGGAGTAATTTTGGTGCAAATCCCTAAATACAGGAAGAAAAAAAAAACCCCAACAAAAAACCCAGGGAAACACCCCCCGCCAATCCCGTATGGAGTTCTCCAGGTCCGAATTCTGAAGTACAGGAAACAAACCTGCAAAGGGAAAACCGGGGCAGGGGCAACGACAGAAGGCAAGTTCTTGTGCTGGTGGGTCCCAGTGTTTTGGGCAGGGGTGGGCAGCGATGCCCGAGACCCCTCGGGAAGGGTTTCCCCTGCTGCCTTCCCTGGGGATCGGCGAGGAGGGAGGCAGGGGCTGGTGAAGGAACGGGGTGGGGGGCAGAGAGCAACTGCCAGGAGGGGCCGGGACGAGACGAGCAGGAAACCACAGGAACGACCCAGCCAGGCGGGAAGGAGCCGCGGGATCAACCCGGTTTCTTCCCCAGGCGCTTAAAGACGCTGACGGTGCCAGCGCTGTCCATCTGCGCGCCGGGGCTCTCGCTGGTGCTGCTCACCTTTCCGCACCCCCAGGTCCTTTTGATGGTCACCCGAAATTCGGGCTGGCTTTTATCCTTCGTGCTGCTGACGTCACCGTCCTGGGCCTCCACCGGCACCGTGACGACAGTTTTGGATGCCGGTTTTGCCGGTAGATGGATACCGGGGGCGGTCCGGTGCCCGGGCCGGTGGGGGGCAGGGGTTTTTTTTTTCTCTGGTTTGGCTTCCGAACTGGTGGCTTTTGCCTTGATGGTCCCTCCTGGTTTGGCGCTTTCCTTCCGGGGGGGTTTGGCGACTTTCTTGAGGACGCCGGCGTACTGCAGGACGGAGCAGTCGTCGTCGCTCTCAGCGGCCTTGTCCCTGCCGGTCCCCAAGGTGTCACCCAGTCTGCTGAAGACCCCCGTGGGCTGGGAGGTGGGGAGGGGGGAGCCGGTCAGCACCCACAGCCCCGTTTCAGGCACTGGATTTACCCTCCCCTTCCCCTTCGCTCCCTGGATTCTGCCACCAGGACAGAGGCTGAAGAAGCGTTTTGGGGTGTAACGATGCAAAACGCTGCCCACAGCCAATAAATTGACGCCAGGGCTAGGAAGCAGGTCTGTAAATCACCCATAAAATCACATTCCCTCTTTTATCTCCTCTTATATCTCTTGAGGGGCTGAGCCTGCAACTCCTTTTACACCCCAAGACTTCTGTGCTGCTGCCGCTCACCTTCTCTCCCGTGGTCGTGTCCACTGTCGCCTCAGCTCCCAGCCGGTCAAAGACAGACGTCCTCTGCAGACCTGCGGTGTTCAGGAAAACGGGGGGTTTTTATTGAAGGTTTCCCCAGAAAACGAAGCTAAACTGGGCTTCTGCAAGAGAAACCGGAGAGGAAACCCCGTGCGGGTACCTTTGGCCGCTTGCTGCTCCAGGATTTTCTTCGTCCTCGGTGTGGTGCCCTTGGGCATGTTGATGATGTATTTTCCTTCCATTTCGGCTGTCACCCGGCGGCGTTTCACCGGGATCGCCGGGTTTTCGTCTGCCGCGTCGCACAAACCTGGTGGGATGAAGGGAGAGCCAATCGAGAGCCCTCATTCCAGTGAGACTTAAATCTGGAGGGTTTTACACGCAG